TTGAATGTGGATGGCCTACAGCCCTGGCCCCAGATTCAGCAGAAGCTGCAATGCCCAGCCCTTGCACGTCCTTACCTAGTGAAGGCATGCAGGCCAGGGGGCATGCAGCATCCGCTCTCTCTGTGCCTGACTTTTCAAAAACACAATTACTCACCCTTCAGAGACGCCATCAGTGTTGGTAAACCCCAGCCACTAAACTGCATTACACTGATCTCTCCAGAAACCTTTGCAGTTATTAATAGTTTATTGATTGCAGCCCATTGCTGATGAGGGCAGGCCTCCTCACCCTCACCCTCCTCGGGTCCCTGCTATCTGTGGAAAGCCTTCTATTCATCATGCAGATCAATGCCACTCAATTCTGGGGAAAGGGAGTCTCTGGGCCACTTAATCCACTTTAGAAAGACAACAGAAAAGGTAAAATTTTAGATGAGGTGCTGAGAAGAGGTGGATTGGTCCAAATCAAAGCTGTGACCTGGCAGCTGTTGGATCTGCCAATGAGAACTAGAATCTGCCTTGGTTGGAGGTGGGGTGGGGGGGATCCTGGCCATGTCAGGTGGTAACAGGGGAAACCAGATGAGGGGTATACAGCGATCTCTGTTATCTTTGCAAATCTTCTGTAATTCTAAACTTATCCAAAATACAAATTTTATTTTTTTTTAGAAAATAACTTGGCTCACGGGAGGAATGGAAAGAATACCACTGTAGCTGGAGGAAGGAGCAGGGGCATGGGAGAAGGGAAAGTGTGAGACATGGCTGGAGGAAGGGGCAGGAGTGTGGATAAGGGAAGGTGGGAGGCATGGCTGGAGATGTAGAAGGAGCAAAGTGTGCTGGGCCCTATTGGCAAAGATGACGATTCTTATCTCTCTTTTTGCCATTTTTATTGATAGCTTTATTTTTTAGAGCAGCTTTAGGTTCACAGCAAAACTGAGCAGAAAGTACAGAAAGTTCCCACCTGCCCCTGTCCCACACATGCACAACCTCTGCCACCACTGACTTCCTCCATTTCAGTGGCATATTTGTTACCATCAACAAACCTACATGGATATGCCATTATCACCCCAAATCCATAGTTTACGTTAGGGTTCACTTTTGGTGTTGTGCATGTGATAGGTTTTGGCAAATGTTATTACCTTTTAAAATGTTTTTATTGAATTGATATTGCTGTCTCGTATTTTTAAATATACAGTTTTATTTCTATTTAGAAGATTTTTTATATTCTCCATTTTATTTTATTTTATTTCCATAGGTTTTGGGGGAACAAGTGGTGTTTGTTTAGATGAGTAAGTTCTTTACTGGTGATTTGTGAGATCTGGGTGCACTCATCACCCGAGCAGTACACCCTTTACCCAATTTGTAGTCTCGTATCCCTCACCCACCTTCCACCTTTTCCCCTAAATCCCCAAAGTTTATCGTATCATTCTTATGCCTTTGCATCCTCCTAGCTTAGCTCCCACTTATGAGTGAGAACATACAATGTTTGGTTTTCCATTATTGTGGTACTTCCCTTAGAGTAGGGGTCTCCAATTCCATCCAGGTTGCTGTGAATGCCATTATTTTGTTCCTTTTCATGGCTGAATAGTATTCCATAGTATAGATATATACCACAGTTTTTTTATCCACTCATTGATTAATGGGGGTTTGAGCTGGCTCCATATTTTTGCAATTGCAAATTGTGCTGCTATAAACATGCATGTGCAAGTATCTTTTTCGTATAATGTCTTTGTCATAAAAGCAGAGAGAGCCTTTGATGGGACTTAGGTAGAGGAGTACCATTCATCTCATTTGCATTGGAAAAGATCTGGATTCTATCTGGAGAATGGATCAAGAGGGAGATTACCAGGGACAGAAAGCCCAGTAAACCCTCTGCCTCCATATTCCAGGTGAGAAGAGATGCTGACTGTGGAGATGGAGGAAAGTGAATGGTTCAGGATCTATTAAGAGTAGAACACCCAGGACTTGGTCACTGTCTGTATTTGGAGGGTGTGGAAATGGGAGATGTCAAGGAGGGTGCCCAAGAATGTGCCTTGGGCTAATGGTGGAGGACAGGTCTGGACATTGGAGGAACTAGGGAACCTGGGCTTGCTCCTTCAGTCAATGGGAGAAGCAGCATCTGGCGCTGTACACATAGTCCTCAGTGAGAAGCTGCCTTTTTCATAAAGCAGCAATCCAGGTGTACCCCGAGCTGTCTTCTATACCACCTGTGAGGTGTCACCTACATGTGTCACCCAAGCATATTGCTTACGTTACTATCACCTGAGCATGTCATCAGGGTGGCAGTTGCCTAAACATGACACTATAAACACATCTTCTGCAGCCATCACCTAGGTGGCGGTTACTTGCACGTATCTGCCTGGGTGTCAACCATGTTATTATTATCTTATTACCTCATCTGGGGAGCTGCCAGCTACACATGTCTCCCGAGCCTGTTTCTTTGCAGAGCTGTCACCTGAACCTGCCACCTGCACTTCTGTCACCTACAAAAGTCATTTAAGCAGGTTGTCTCTATAACCAACACCTATGAGTGTCACCAAGTGCAAATTCTGCTCCTACTGTTTGTAAGCCATGGGGCCTTGGGTAAGTCATGCCATCTGTCTCTGAGTCTCCTTTTTTTTTTTTTTAATCTAAAGTATGTCACTCCAGGTGACTGTCACTCAGTAATGGTGCCCGGTAAAGAGGCTATTTTTTCAGTCTAGCTGAGTTACAAGCAAAGAAAATCATTCCCGGAGGGGAGACTGGTCCCCTGCTGTTCCCATGTCACTGTGCTCTTTCTTCTGAGATCAGGGAGTGGAGGGAGACAGCGTCTTCTCAACAAAGTCCCCATTCTTTACGTCCTTCCTTGACAGTCGGTAGACCAGATGTCAACCTCTGTGTGTTCTATGTAAATGAAGGTGTTTGTTTATGCTAATGTGTGCTGGGTAGTGGGAGGGATGGGCTGGCTCAGCTCAGTAAGACGACAGTGATGGAAAAAGAGGCTGGCAGCCCAGGTGTTGGGGGACAGTGAGTCACAGGGGAAAAGGAGCCAGAAGACAAAGATGAAGCAGGTAGCTAAAAGGACAGAAGAAAAGAGTGAAGCTGAGGTTACGTTGCTCTGCAGAAGCAGGTGGACGAGCAAAGTGGGAAGTGTGTCCAGGAGGCAGAAGGGAGGATGAAGAACTGGATTGAAAGAACCTCCCTTCTCAGAGGTGGCAGAGCAGGGTCACACGCCCAAGAGCCTGAGCGCTAACCAACTACTGCTCTTTCCTGTCCCCAGTGGGGTCCTTGTCAGGCAGGTTAGTGGGGTAGGGCCGTGGGTATGGATCCCTTCCCGTGGTTTCCTGCTATGACTTGGGAACTTCTAAGACTTAAACAGATACCCTAGTCCCGCTAAGTTGTAGCCAGAATAGGCTGGAACTCGCATGAAGACAGACATATTTCCCCAATGCAGCAATGACATAGCCTCTGCAACTTCAGGCCAAGGCTCCTTCCCATCCAAGTGTCCAGATTCCACTTGCCAGGAATTCCCTCTCCTCACAGAGCTTCGAAGGACTGAGGAGCAATACAGAATGGGCTCTCTGTCCATTTGGGTGCAACGTTCCTGCTTACAGAAGTCCTGCAGTGACATCATTGCATTTAATCTTTACTGCAGTCACAGGAAGTAGCACCTCCACTGTTTAGGAAAGAAAATGGAGAGGGGAGATGGACTGACTTATCCAAGGTACCATGATTTACAAACAGTAGGAGCAGAATTGGAACCTGGTTCTCTTTGACTCCATGTCAAGGCTCTTTTCAATACAGAAGGGAGGAAAGAGCCTCCCTGCTGGCGTTTTCCATGGGGAGAGAGAACATACCAACTCATTTTCACATGGTCTGACCCTGTAGATGCTATAGAAAGATCTAGAACAGGAGCCATCCAACTACAGCCTGCGGGCCAAATCTAGCCCATTGCCTATTTTTTCACAACTTGTGAACTGAGAATGCTTTTCATACTTTGAAATGGTTGCAGAAAAGAAAAGAAGAAGGATATTGTATGGCAAATGAAAATTATATGAAATCCAAATTAAAATGATCATAAGTAAAGTTTTATTGGAGCACAGTTGCACCAATTTGTTTACGCACCGTCTGTAGCTGCTTTTGTGCTACAAGGACAGAATTGAGTAATTGCAACAGATAACGGAAAGGGCAGCAAAGCCTAGAATGTCTACCCTCTGGACTTCTAGGAGAAAAGTCTGAAAGCAGGTTTGAGGGGGTCTCTCCCATCCTCAGGGATCACCTCCTCTGAGATACCCTCCCATCACCTCAGGGGTGGGATTGGCTGCTCCCCAATCTGAGCTCAGATAAGCTCATGCTTTTCCATGTGAGTGTGGAACCCAGATCAGCTTCCCTACCTCCTTATCCACCGGGATGGGGGCTCCTTGTGGACCTGAATTTTATTGTCTTTCTCTTCCATGATCTCAGGACTGGGCATGAAGTGGCAGCATGGCGGCGTGGAGAGAGAAATTCAGATTTCCATACTGGTTCTTATCTGTATACAGCGTTGGGGACAATTGACTTCTGTCCCGAGCCTCAGTTTCCTTGCTTATGAAATGGAAATATGGACCCTGTGTGAGGGCCGTCATGAGGAAAGAGGGAGCTGATGCCTCCAGTGACAGTTTTGAGCCCATACTCATGCAGTGATACACTAAATGCCCACATCTATTCACCTATGCCATCCTCACGGCTCCCTGGAAATGGGCAGCATCCCAGGCTCATGGAAGCCGACAGGCTAAACAACTGCTCCAGGACCCACTGAGCACAGATTGGACTTGGCTGAACACAGTCCACACCTTCACTGTCTGAAAGGCTGAGTACAGGGCCTGCATACAGTCGGTGTTCCATAAATGCTCCCCTCCTCCCAGCCCAGCACACAGGCATGTGTTTGTTAGTGGAGGCTGCACCAGTGGGCATCAGGATGAGTTTCCTTGAGCACTGCCTTACCCTGCCCCACAATGATGGGCCCTCACCCTGTCTTCTGCCTCCCCTAGGCTGCCCGAGGTCCGGATCTCAGACAACGGTCCCTATGAGTGCCATGTGGGCATCTACGACCGCGCCACCAGGGAGAAGGTGGTCCTGGCATCGGGCAACATCTTCCTCAACGTCATGGGTGAGTGCTAGGCCACTGGACCCAGCGTCTCAGTGAGGAGGATGAGTGTGTTTGAGTGTGTGTGTGCGTGCACACAGCAGCCATCCTGGGGGCCATCTACCAGAAGTTCCGTTGTGCTGGTGTCTTCCCTCTCCTGCCCTTGTCGTGGAGGGTCAACCAGACCAGGTTGAGCCAAGGTGTGACCCGTGAGGTCTTGCCCCCCATGGGCCTCCCCTCAGGAGGTCCCCTTCTTGCAGCACAGGTACCCCAACAGGACCCTCCCCAGGGAGTGAAGGACAGCACCTCAGCCAAGATGCACAGCTGCTGCAGAGGGAACCATTCTGTCCCTCAGTCAAAAGTTCTCCCTGCACTTCCTGAGGCCTTAATGGAGATGGCATAGGATCTGGAGACGAATTGGGAAGCGCTCAGGGCTGGGATTCAGAGCCCCTGGGTTCTCACCCTCTCCTCTTGTCTCCATTTATGCACTTGTAAAATGGAGGTAACAATACTGGTGTCTATTTCCAGCTGGCTGGGTCCTTGGGTAAGTCTATCCCAGTCCCAGACTCAGTTTCCCCATGTGTAAAGCAAGAATGCTGCTCTGCGTATTCTCAGAAGCCCCCACCGGCTCTAATCTTCTTGTCAGATATACACCTTTGGATTCTGGCTCTATTGCAAGGATGCTGGGGACTTGGCCTTGACTCTAGACTCTGTGTTCTCCAGTTTCCTTATCAAATAATATTTATCAGGGAAACAAAGCTGTGGTACACAGGCAATCAATGAAAGCATAAAGGCCCCGCTGAAAGCCGCTGCTTCTGGGGAAATTGAAAACCCCCAAAGGCCAGACCTCCAGAGGGACATTGATTCCTGCAGCGCAGCCAGTGGTGGTTCTGGCTTCCCAATGGAGCCACGATGCAGGAGGTGGCGTTGCCAGGAAAAGCCCCTCTCTCGCAGTTACTCATGCACCAGTCAGCTCCTCTGATAGAGGAACTAGCAGCGTTTGGGTGCCTGGCTCTGGGTTGGCCACACAAGGGAACCTAGGAGGGACATAACTCAGTTTGCACCATCAAGGAACTCCCAGTCTGATGAGAGACATGTACTTAATCAACCATTTATGCATCACAATGTATCAAGCACCTACCTACGAGGTAGCAGGGAATGGACCCAAACTTTTTATAGGACAAATACTTATCTATAGAGATTTTGCAGGAGGCAAGCATAAAACACACGCATAGATGAATTGAAAAGAGCATGCAACATGCTGGAAGAAAATAAAGCAGAGTAAAGGGATAAAGAGTGACTGCAGGTGGGTGGCTGCTAGCATAGGGAGGGGACTCAGGGAAGGCCCCTCTGCAGCTATTGGGCTGAGGGCTTTACATGTGTTACATCGTTTAGTCCTCACAACCAACCCGAGGGTACATGCTCGCATTAACTCCATTTTTCAGATGCAGAAATGGATCACAGAGAAAGCAAGCAACTTGCCTAAAGTCACACAGCCAAGTTCACAAAATCCTCCTATGATATCAGGCAGCTCAGTGTTGCACTGGGACTCAGGCGTCTTGACTCCAGGGCCAGCTCTGTCACACTGCTGGAGGCAGTGAAGATGCTGTGCTAAGGCCTCACTCTAAGGTGCCTTCAAGCAAGGCCAGAGTCCTCAAAATCCATCCCTCCATGAGGCCCACACTTCCCATTACTTCACCAAAGAACTCTGAGCAGATTATTCTCCCTCTGTGGCCTTGATTTCTCCCATCTGTACTGTATTAGTCCATTTTTATGTTGCTGATAAAGACATACCCAAGACTGGGCAATTTGCAAAAGAAAGAAGTTTAATGAACTCACAGTTCCACATGGCTGGGGAGGTCTCACAATCATGGTGGAAGGTGAAAGGCACGTCTCACATGGCAGCAGACAAGAGAAGAGAGCTTGTGCAGGGAAATTTATGTAACCATGAGATCTTGTGAGACTTATTCACTACCATGAGAAATAGCACAGGAAAGACGACCCCTATGATTCAGTTATCTCCCACTGGGTCCCTCCTACAACACAGGGGAGTGGTGGGAGCTACAATACAAGACGAGATTTGAGTTGGGACACAGCCAAAGCATATCATGTATCATCAGAGAGTTGACAGATAATCCTATGCTCCCTCCCAGCTCTGACACTTGTGAGTCTCTTACTCCATCCACTAAGTGAGGAAACTGAGGCACAGAGCAATCTCATGGGACTGACTCAGGTTGCACAACTGGCCTGATGGTCTCTGCTGAGCAAGGGAGTGTGCTCCTGGCAGGCTCAGTGCCTGAGACTTTTCCTCTCCTTCTGTGTCACTGCCTGGGGATCAGGGACACTCCCTGTGGGAGGCAGCAGTCACCAGAGACCAGAGCGCTGGGAAGGAGGGAGCAGCTGCTGTAGTTCCACTTACCGAGCGGTCTGATGGGGCTCCATGGACTCTGCAGGCAGCTGAGTCTTCCAGGAGGGGCCGGGCAGGGGTAAAGCTAGTGATGCAACCCCAACCTTCCATGCTGGCACTTTCAGATGCAGGGTAAGGGTGACCCCCAGAAATTCAGGGCTTCACTGGCAGGATTTTCCCTGGCATCGCACCCACTCGTCGCAGCCCATCCTCTGCTGGCCACTGCTCAGAGCTCACTGTACTTGCTGTTGGTCTTCCCAGCCCAGCTGTTCCCCAGTGGAGCAGATCCACCTTGGCTCGCTATGCCCATGGGAATTGATATGGCAGCTGACACGTCTCCCGTCCCTCCCTGGACACGTGCATGTGCCTGACAGTGTGTGAGCTTCTGGCTTCACGTGTGTTACCTTTTAGAATCCTCATGACAGCCCTGTGAACTGAAGGACTTTATGATCCCCGTTCTATGAGGAGACCGAGGCTTAGCGGGGAGAAGTGACTTGTTGGGTTCTAACAGCTTTCTAAGTCCAAGTCTCATCATCTAAACCAGCACTTCTCAAACTTGAGCATGCAGCAGAACTGGCTGGAGAGCTTGTTAAATACAGATGGCTGGGTCCCACCCCACAGCTTCTGACTCAGCTGGGATGGGGTGGGGCCTAAGAATATGCGTTTCTCATAAGATCCCAGGGGTTGCTGCTGCTGTTGGTCCAGGGGCCACACTTTGAGGACCACTGATCTAAATCTCTAAGTATTTCCCAAAATACTAGTTCTGTGTGTATCTATATATTGATGGTTATTCGATATTATACATATCTACAACTATGCCTATACTCTTACCCATATGCAAATGTATTTTTCCTCCCTCCTCCCACTTCTCACCTCACCCCAAACACAGGAGGATCCCCACCCCGCGATTTCTTAGCATACAAGTTAAGGACATACTGGTTTAGGTCCCAATCTCAGTTGTGCTCTGTGAACTTAGGCCCATTTTCCTCTGTGGGCCTCAATTTCCCCATCTGTAAAATAGGGATGGGGATGCTTCCCTCCTAGGGTGGCTGTGAGGCTTAAAGTAGATGAAGTTTGCAGAATGCCTAGCCCATCAAGAATAGCACTGAAGAGCTCAGTTACTTGGACTCTGTTGTTTTTATTATCACTGTCTCTGGTTTGCCCGCTCCTGGGCACAGCTGTAGCTGCCTCCCTCTTGCCCCTTTGGCCCCAGCAGAGAGAAGCCCCCCATTCACAGCTCCGAAGAGCCCTGCACTAGTCTGAGGAATGACTGTTCTGGGAACACAGCTTCATGCACCGCGGTGGCCTGGAAGCCAGGGAGTGTCTCTGGGAGCGGCAGGGACAGGGGTCTCTGCTTACTCACCTTCTCTGGGCTTCTTCCCCAAAGGTCTGTGTGTCCTGGCACCACTCACCTATGGAAGGAGTCAGGATATTTCCCAACTGTCATGATGACAGCAATGCCTCACACTTGCCCGCTTTGAGCACTTTCAGAGGGCTTTCACATTGAGGACATCACCCAATCCTCACTGCAGATCGGAGCATGGGGTTTACTATCATCCCTAACTCACGGATGAGGAGACTGAGGCCCAGGGAAGAGAAGGTATTTGCTCCAGGCCTTATAGGATGGGGGTTATCTTTGTGTCAGAGCAGTGTGGCTTCTGTAGCTCACCAAGGTCCTGAATGGTGAGAGGAGGACTAGGGGAGGCGGCGTGGCTGAGTGTTTCTCATACAGCATCTCCTGTAACCTATCGACCACGTGGGCCTGGGAGGCAGGCACCACAGCGAGCCCATTGCACAGACCTGGCTCAGAGGGGCATGGGACTTGGCCGAGGTTGGAGGGTTAAATGAGATAATCTATAGAACAGAATATTCTGGGCCTGAGGCGTGGCATATTCTGGATGATCAAGAGATAGTATCTCTTACGACAGATAGTAGTCGGGTCGGATACAAACCAGGCACAATTAGACCAATCTCTGTGAACGTCTCCTTCAAATATGTTTCAGAGCAGGTTTCAAAAATTAAAACTGACTCATTGCTTTGGTTCATCTGTGGCATTGTGTTCACACACAAAGCCCCTCCCTTCAAGTGAGCGGAGGTCACTGAACGCTGGGGTCTCTTTTGTGCCACATGGGACCCCAAGGGCCGCTGCAGCCAAATTGAGGCAAGACAGCCTCTCCCTGATTTGGAGGTCGATGGGAAGCTCCCAGGACAGTGGGGAGAAGGAGAGCTGAGGAGCTGGGGACGGCCCAGGGCCCACCTGCCTCAAAGCACAGAGCAGTTCCACCAGACAGCCCAGCACCCCAGTCTGCCATCCACACGTCCACATTCAGCACATTCTAATGCGGCCGTTTCCAGAGGCCTCTGGGTGCAGATGAAAACGTGAGTGCAGCTGTAATTTCACGCCTATAACATCCCACTATGTGGTGGGGAAAGACATTTGGGAGCCCCGTGGGTGACACCAAGGGTGTATGCTGCACACAGTCATTAAAATGTTTTTATCCGAGCTGCAGATAAATTGTAAGCCAATTTGAAAGTTGCGTGCTGGGCCCCAGGAACGCATTATACACAGTCATGGAAGGATTTTGAAGGTTCTTCTGGGGGTGCAGGTTAGGAGGAG